CTCTCTATTTAGAAGTAATTCTGCAGCAATTCTGCCCTGTTTCTTCTTCTGATCATTTTGTACATATTAAAAAAATTCCTCATTTTCTGAAATCTTAAAATGCTAAATAGCCCTGTCTTTTCACTATCAGAAACCAGATTCCTGTTCCTCATCCCTGTGTCAAGGCAGTACGAATTTTAATAATGTTTATAAAATATTGGCTATTTTCACAAAGCTTGGAATGTATTGTCTATTGGAGTTAAATGCTCCTGTTTAGGAAAAAAAAAAAGGCAATGCCATTTTAGAAGGGAAAAGACAGAGTTTTATTATTGCAGAGAAGCAAAGGGTCACGTAACAGATAAGAAAGGAATGCAAGGACAGACATTAAGCTCAGCCACAGAGATAAGCTGTGCCCATTGGGATAGGGAGAAAGCAAGGTTTATGGGGGAAAAGTTACATTTGAAAATTCTAGAATTAGGCAACCACAGCGTGAGGGTAGTCCTTGACTTACCATCACAGTTGGAACCATCAGTAAGCAATGGTCAAGTGTTAAGTGAGTCGCCCCTCATTTTATGACCTTTTTTGCCACAATTGTCAAGGAAATCACTGCGGTTAATTGCACCGGTTCTTAAGCAAATCTGGCTTTCCCCATTGATGTGGCTTGTCAGAAGCCATCTTAGAAGGTTCACCTATGGGAATCACAGGACGCATGCTGGTTGCCAAGTGCCTAAATTTTGATCATGTGACTGTGGGGATGCTGTGACAGTCCTAAGTGCGAGGATCAGTCCCATATCCCCTTTTTTTTCAGAGAGCAGTTTCAATCCAAGTCCTTAACAATCTGTTTTATTTGTGGCTAAATCTGGATGGTAGGTTTAACATAGTGATTCTTTGCTAATGGGAATTATGAACGATTACAAATCTTGGACCAAAATTTCAGGGTAGACATTTTGTCTTCGTTTAAAATAACATCAGCAAATGTCTGTCCTTTTAACAATGGTCTTAGATTCATTTGGAGTTCCCTGTTCACAAAACTGAAATTTCCAATTGGTGGTTTAATCCTGATTATAAGCCAATTTGTTGAAGAATTTATCTCTTGGTTATCAATCTGAAAAAAAACCCAGATTTGCAACGAAGTGATTTTAATAACCCAGTTAAATCATCATGTTATGCTAAAAAGCTTTGTTCTCTTTTCATGATAAGAAAGCTAAACTGTGAAAGCTAAATGCCTTGGTTGTGATCTGGGTTCACAAATTTCACAAGCAATCAGGCTGCTGTATTATTATTTTTACTCATTATTCTAACCCCTGTGATTTTTCAAAGCGTTAAACCAGGCCTATTTCAAAGCAGTCTATGCCATTATTTGTAGTAATCTCTATGGCACTATATAGTTGAAATTTAGCTATATATCAAACTGGCCAGAAGCATTATTTATAATTCAGTTATTCAAACAGCATTAGTTCTGCTTATTCCAGCAGAAGAGAGAGTATCTCTTGAGTAGAAATTTCTCTCACTGGTTAAATCTGGAGTTGTACAGATTTATATTCAAGAGTTATATTCAAGTTTGGAAAATGGAGAGTTTACAGGAAACACTCTTTGAATGTTAAGTGGGAATGCTACCAAGATTGAAAGAATGCTACTTTCAAAATATAAAATCTATTCAATGGAAGATCCCCTGAACTCTTTGCTACTTTACAATCACTTTAGATTCACTTTTGCAGACAATGGCTCAGGAGTGTCCTTTTTTACACGCTTCTAATGATTCAGATAATTATTTTGTATTGAGTATTTAGTTGATTCAAGCTTCAATCTTAGTGTTAGCTTCTTCGTGTTTCTGAATTAAGTAGTCCAAGCTATAGTGCATGAAAATGTAAATTTTGTTTGGACAACTAGTTGTCTGAAATGCTATAGGGTTTCCTGCCTAAGCAGGGGGTTGGACTAGAAGACCTCCAAGGTCCCTTCCAACTCTGTTATTCTGTTCTATTCTGTTCTGTTTTATTCTATTCTATTTCTATTCTATTCTAATTCTATTCTCCCCTCCCACTTTAGCAGAAACAGTAGATGCTGTTGAGAAAGCCTTTGTTCCTTTTGCTTGCTCCAGCTTTCTATCCAGTGCCTCTTCTGTTTTCATCTACAGTACAGGTAGTCCTCGACTAACAACAGTTCCTTTAGTGACTGTTCAAAGTTACAAATTGCCCCGAGAAAAGTAACATACGTTTTTCGCATGACCTTTGCAGCATCCCCATGGTCATGTGATCAAACTTCATATACTTGGCAACTCATTTATGACAGATGCAGTGTCTCAAGGTCACATGATCAGCTTTCGTGACCTGATAAGCAAAATCGATAGGGAAGCCAGATTTATTTAACAACTATGTTACTAAGTTAACAACTTCAGTGATTTGCTTAATCGTGGCAAGAAAGATTGTAAAATGGGGTAAAACTCACTTAACTGCCTCACTTGGCCACAGAAATTTTGAGTTCAATTATGTTCGTAATTTGAGGGCTACCTATATCGTGTTTCCACTTAACCTTTCTATTAATAATCTTCTGGACCTGTTTCTATCAGATTTTTGCCTAAAATACTGTATGAAGTCTTCATAGGCTCACATCGTTAACAACTTCCAGGTGGCCAAGACAAAGCATCTCTTTGGATAAGACTTTTCTCCCACATCTGACACCTTGGACCACCAAATGTCACTGCCAAACAAACCCTTCACTGTGAGAAAGCAAGTGCTGAGACAGGAAAAAGCATTTTGTTTCCCTTTTATCTTCATTGTAATACAAATATTGTGGGATCTGTATCTAAGACATGTCCTAACAGTTGAATTAGAAGGAGGGTGAATTAGAAGCCAAGGATATCATAGAAGGAACATGACACCCAGTAACAATTGAAAACTTTATTTAAGCAATCATTAAAAAGAGAACAGAAGATACAATATGGAAAATACAGCATTGATAGATTCCTGGATTGGAGATAAAAATGATTGCCTTACAAGATTCTGACCATTAATTATTTTATATATATATATATTTATCTACAGCTGTTTACTGAGTGAAGCAATTCTGGAATTGTGAGCTAATCAAACAATCCGATTATGTAAAACAAGGAATAATCTATCAGCAGCCAAATGATTGATAGGCCCAGTGCACTGGTAGGATCCCAGTAACTCTGCATGTGGGAAAGTATAGTGAGATGGTTCTGTTTATAATATAGGTAGGCCTCGACTTACACTCATTTAGTGACCGTTCAAAGTTACAATGGTGGTGAAAAAGTGACTTGTGACTGTTTTCCACATGACGATTTGTAGTATCCCCGTGGTCATGTGATCAAAATTTGGGTGCTTGGAAACTGACGTGCATTTATGATGGTTGCAATGTCCCAAAGGTCACCCTTTGTGACCTTTTGACAAGCAAAGTCAATGAGGAAGCCAGATTTAGTTAACAACTGTATGTTTTCCCCAATACGACTTGCCCTGAAAATAAGCTCTGCTCCGATTTTCACATCTGCACCTAAAATAAGCCCCAGCCCCAAAACAAGGCCTAGTTAAGCCTCACCTCAGTTGCAGTAGAAACCCTGGTTTGTTTCACTCCACCAAATTTTGGAAGGCTTGTTGTGTTGTTGCATGAGTGGTGGAACTGTCGCGAGGCTTGTCATGTCTGCCGCTGCTCGATTGCTGCAAGGTTTGTTGTGCTGCTTGTGTGCGCAATGACACAACAAATCTTGCAGCGTCCTGCCATGAGTGGTGGCACCAGTGTGACGAGCTTCACGGCGTCCTGTGAGGTTCATTGCGCAGTTGCAGCTGCTCATCGGCACCAGTACTGCCGCTCACACACGCAACAGCACAACAAAGGGTAGAGGGAAATTAAGACATCCCCGAAAATAAGGCCTAGCGCTTATTTCAGAGGTCGAAAGAAAATAAAACAAGGTCTTATTGTTGGGGAAACACTGGTAACAACTGCAGTGATTCACTTAACTGTGTCAAGAAAGATCGTAAAATGGGGCAAAACTCATTTTACAACTGTCTTGCGTAGTGACAGCAATTTGGGGCTCAATATTGATCATAAGTCAAGAACTACTTTTAAATCATTTGCCTCTACAGCAGAACCGCAAAGCTTCCACCCACACCGTCTTCTTTGATATCATTCCTTACCTTAGTGCCTTCTGAATAATCTGGCCCACCAAGCCCATCCTTTTGCTTTTACATTAAACACAATCTCCCCCTGCATATCTTTGTACACGTTGATTTCATTCTCCCCAGCTCCCGAATGGAAGGTCACATTACTTTCTCCGCATGAGACCTGCAACACGGCATTGTCCTGCACAGCATGTGGTTCCTTGGGAAATTTCTCTATCGTCTTATTTAGGCACTGCCGTAGCTCCTCTGACCCTTCAAGGGAGACCAGTCGTAGGGAGACATTCAAGAGGCTGCCAAGGTTGAGGGGTTGGCGCCCCAGCCTTGCCACATAGACTTGTGAATTGGTTTCTTTGACCGTGTAATATGTTTGGCCATCCACCCAGAACACCTCAATATAGTTTTCTCCTTTTCCTGACACAAACTCCTTCCTCGTCCCGTTACACCTGAGGATCATCTTGGCATTCTCCTTCACAATCCGTGGCTCTGATTCAAATTTATTGACAGCAGTGTCGAAGCACTTTTTCATGGCCTCACAAAACGGTTCGGATTCCTTGGCTTCCAGCAGGACTGTCGCAGTGAGATCTTTAGGGATGGTTTCTGTGTTATCTCCTTTAACAAGGACAACGCTGGTGGCCACATTGTTCCCAAATGGATATCTTATACCTATTCTTTTTTCCTTCAATAATAATAAAATTGAAACTAATGAAAATAACAAAAAAACCAGGACGAAAATTTTGAGAATTTTGATGAAAGGCAGATTCACTGGGTACTTGCGGAAGATGCAGGACACAGTATTTTTGATGCCACTCTTTATGTTGTGCCACAACATTGTGGATTCTTGTAAGAGGAACCCCCGGATTTTCTTCAGGTAGGAAGATCTACTAACCAGTTTGAACTCATTAGCTTCTTCATCAAGCAGAAAAGGCTTAGGGAAATCATTCTTCTCTTTCATAGTTGGCAAAAGCTGTCAAGGGAGAAAAAAAAAAGAGTTTGGAATTAGGGACTCCTAAGCCACAAAATGGAAAACAACATATTGCCATGACTGCCACAGTACTGGCAAAGCCTCTAAATGGTTTTCTTTGAACTTTTAAAGAGGTTAAGATTTTGCTAGGATTGCCCAGTCTCACCGGGTCAAAGCTGCCCCTTATCTGAGAAGGTAGCTAACGCCTGCTTCTTTGGTTTATCCCACTATCAAACACAAATTAAAAAAACACTTCGATCATATGCTTTATAGGTAGTCCTTGATTATGACCACAAAGGGAACTGGAACTTCCATCACTACTGGATGCAGTCATTAAATAAGGTGGGCTCAGTTTTATGATCCTCTATGCCATTAAGTGAATCACCAGTCATTAAATGAATCCCTATTGTCATTAAGTGGATCCAGCTTTCCCCATTGAGTTCGCTTGCCAGAAGCCACCTGTGGAGATCACAAATGGCAATAACATGACTTAAAGACACTGCAACTACCATAAATACTTGCTGGTTGCCAAGTGCCTGAATTTTGACCATGGGGACACTGTGAAAGTCAAAAGTGTGAGGACCTGTTATCACGTTAACATCATAAGTGAATGTTTGTTAAATGAGTGGTTATAAGTCATATACCTGTATATTATTTATACAAACAAACAAACAAACATACATACATACATACATACATATATATATATATATATCTTACGCGGGAGAAAACCCGAACAACTATATGTATGTATGTATATGTATATATGTATGTAT